TATATTAAAAACTATATTATAATACACGAGAAATATAAAATTTTTAATTTGCTATTGTAATATACTGCATTTTAACATACTTTATACATATTCTGTGTGTATCATTATAAAACAATACATATATAAATATATGTATAAGGCTTATACTGTTTAAAATGTTCAAATTATTTATATTACATTATAATATACTCTAATTGTATAAAACAAAAATTTTTAAATATGTGTAAAACCTATAAAAAATCGGATCTTTATTGCAGTATGAGCTACCGTTTGTCGAGGTCTACCGAGCGAGAGAATTCACATTCCGCTCTTTGCCGACGCTGCAATTCGAAAACGAGGTGAACCAAGTTCGTTCAAACTCTCGGCTTAGCGTATGGAATTGCGACGGTGAGGTGATCGACAAAACCAATGTGAAAATCAGGCGAGTAAACAAAACACGCGATAACGTTCAGATTATCAGTACGCACATATTGTGCTAATCGATGTCTTAATCTTTGAATGTGTGTGCGATCAAATTTGAATTTATCTACAGATATCCAAAAGATTTGTATTATTTGAAATATATAGCTATACCCCCCCCCCTTAAAAACAATTATTTTTTCACACTAATATTTTGAAATAATTACATATTTTTTCTTAAAAACAATTATTTTTTGTTATATCATTTGATTTCTCTCATTATTCTGTACATAAAAGTATTACGGTAAGATTATCGAAAACTAAATATTTTACGAGATATTTTATTTTTTATATCAAAATATGTCAGATTAAGATATAAAATAACTCAAAAAATACTTAATGAAAAAATACTTTATTACAGTGTTTTGAAAAGCTCTCGAGTTAAGCTACAAGAATATATAATAAAAAATAGGGGTTTCTATTTAAGAAATTAAAGATGACCTTCATGTGACCTTCAAACGACTATCTAAGATCAAACCAATGGCATTTTCTTATGTCCCCCTTCGAATCAAATAACTTTTGTCTAAAACATTTTTTTTTGAAAGTGCATGATTTTCGAGATATGACGGTGTGAACGTTAAAATGGGGCACTCTGTATATTGAATAACTTAACAAAATATTGAATATGGAGTTCATATTCTTTATTTTAATTTTTAGTGATAAAAAATGAAAATGTTATGCAAGTTAAAAATTATCTTAACAAAAGCTATTCAGTTTTTTTTCAATATGTTTATAAATCTAGCACTTGAAACTTAAGCGGCTTTGTGTTTTCCCTTTGTATGAAAAGCATTAGAAAATAAAAAATGTGCAATAAAAAAATTTATTTTACGAAATTGCACCAAAAATTCTTTAAAATATTCTCTTTACCTGGAATTTTGAACAAAAATATCCGGATCAGGGAATTTTTAGGAAATTTTTTTACAAAATTTGAGTAGATACCCTGTATTTATTTGATGTTAAGCGCCTATCTATCTTAGAATCAAATTAAACTTTATACTAAACTGCTAAATGTATCTGTATTATGTACAGAGTACACTGCCAACTATTGAAGGTTTACACGAGACGAGCTCAAGAATCAACTCGGGAACCGACCTGCTTCAGTTGTTCGATGTGAATGAGCTGAACGAGGTCGTCGAACGGTCAGACTTTAAGGTTGCGATCCCGTTGTGCAACGCTCTCAAAAGCGTTAAAGTTCCTTTATCTTGCCCTGTCATCCATCCTCGCGAGATTATCTTACAGTCTTACAGTATAATAATATATATATGTATGTATACAGGGTGAGTCATTTTAATAAACGTACGCAAATATCTCGTAAAGTAAGCAAGATGGAAAAAAATGTTTTATACAAAAGTTGTAGAGTTCAGAGGGGGACACATGATGAAAATATGGACTTGACCTTGAGTGACCATTCGTCATTTTCCTATAAGTTTTGTTATACTAGAAAAATGAAACAGAGAAAAAGAGAAAAAAAATAGACTTTTGATCATGCTAATATTTCCAAGCATATACATAATACAACACGAGAGAATTTATGTTTTTGCGCGTACGTCTTTCCGTAATATTTTTAAAAAATAATCCTAGATCTAGATAATAGTAGCGTTATTTTTAATCTGTTATTGATACAGCGATACACCTCGGTTTATACCATTGCATATACCATTACCATTGCATACATTATTTCGTGTACAGAAATTATATATTCAACTTTTATTTCATTTTTAATATGACTGCTTGGTCATTTTTCACACACTTTTCAAGAGTACTGAACATTCCACTTGCTAGAGCGTTGTGTAAATTGCGGTAACTCTGATGAATCAATTTTACACGTACATTGAACAAGTTTAAAAGATGCTGCCTAAGATACGAAATATTAATTGGAAGAAGCAGCGTATATTACTATCGCAACACGTCTGCTTGATCCGGATTGTGCGTTGTGCGACGCTTAAAAGTTGAAACATATTTCAATTGAAATTAACGCCGTTCGCACACTTATCGATTACACATTCCAGGCTAATCGCTCGCACATTTATTTGATAAGAGACAAATCGAGATGATATTGTATTCACATTTTTAAACATTTTCATATACAATTACAATCATTTTCCGATGCTATTTTATTGGCGTGCCTAAAAAGAAATATTATATCTTCGCAATCTATGTATAATCCTGTATTTAATATATTCTGTTCCTATATGCAAGATGTTTTAAAAGTGGAAGTCAATCGCTCGAGAAGTGATTGGGGACCCAAAAACAAGAAAAAAAGTTGATATGAACATGTCTGGAAATACGTTGTTTTTGAGTTATCGCCATTTTTATGTTGAAATTTCAAATTGTTTTGCTTTCGAGTTTTTTTGTCAAAATTGAAAGAAGAGATGGTTTTTATCAGTTTTATAACATAATTAAAGTCAAATAAAAGTTGCGGGCTACTTTAGCACTACCCAGGGAAAAAAATAATAAAAAAAATACAAATAAAATAATAAATAAATACAAAAAAATAAATTAATATAAAACCATTTCTCCTTTCAATTTTGACCAAAAAATTCGAAAGCAAAGCAATTTGAAATTTCAACATAAAAATGGCGATAACTCGAAAACAATTCATTTCTGGACCTATGTTCATACCAACTTTTTTTCTTATTTTTGGATCCCCAATCACCTCCCAAGCAATTGACCTTCACTTTTGAAATACCCTGTATATTGCAATTAACAAGCAACAAAAATCTCGGAGTAAAAAAACCATTGTGCAAATGATTTTTCTGAAAATCGGAAAATTGCAATCGTACAAACCTTGTTATCGATTCACTATTGGGTCATTTATTAAGAATCCATTCAGAGATTGCATTTATCATGATTTCGCAACGCAAAAAAAAAAATGACGATGACATAGGGCCAATTTCACCAAGTCCGGTTATATGAACCGATGGTTAAAATTAGCAGGGTTCCAACTGAAATGATATGAATGCTTGGTTTTCCTTCACCTCTATTTTCTGTTGGCCACCCTGCTAATTTTAACCGTCGGTTCATCTAACCGGACTTGGTGAAATTGGCCCATAATCAGGCTGGTTGTACTTTTACATTTTGTACTTACAGCGTTTTGTATTATTAATGGCTGTAGTAAATTCAAAGCGTGATGTAGGGAGATTAAATTTACTTAATTTACTTAATTACTTAAATTTATTACATATACATATCCTGTTATTGATTATAAATTTATTCTAGCGACAAAAAACTCGCAATTAATAGTAAATGCAATATCGTATTATCCGTAATAAATTTAAGTAATAATTAACTTTACCGCGCGCGTAGTGCAATTTAAGCGTGACTCGTACGTTAACGTTCTTACAATCCGCTAAGCTTTTTTTATATTTTTAGCATTTTTTCATGTGTAAAGACGAACAGGATACGAAAATGGTGCTTAAATCGTACGGAAAGGTTTTGAGCTTTATTATGAACTTAATTTCAAAATCTGCATATTATTAACAAGTAAAAGATTAATTATTTCTAGCGATAGTCGTCTTTATTCACGAAAGTATTTAGATTAGGATATTTGTATACACACACATTAATTACAATGAAAAGACATGTAATACAGTATGTGAGACGTGGATTATTTACGTCTCGTGTATCAATATTTATATGCAAATGTATATACTTTGACCGTGAGAACAAATTGAAGAAAGGAGATAAAATTGAAATGAGCAGAAAAAAAAACAATAAAAAGTATTTTTTGATTTTCGATCCAACTTTTTCTTCCATTTGCTCTTTAGTATCGAAATATTCATATTTGCCTCAACATCTTTTCGCGATTTATTTATGATGACATCCGCAGAAAATATTCACAATTGAGTGTGATGTTATAAACGGCACGTTTCTTATTTTTAATGTTTTAAAGGTACTATTTTGCGTCGTGGATAATTATAGACATAGACGAATTTTTCGCTGCAAGCGTGGAGTTTAATTGATGCAATAATAGCGAAGCAGCGTAAACGACACTATAAACAGTCGCGTTCTATTCACATAGTTAGAGATGTAAATAGAAAAAAACAAATTTTTTTTCACAAAAAAACGGTTTCTTCAATGAAAAAAAACAAGCCTCGTTTCCAAATTTTTGTTTTTTTCAGATATTTAAAACCTTTATATTTTGATTGCAAATTGTTTTTTCATTATTCTTAACTTTTTAGATGATAGATTTGAATTAATCATTATTATTTTAGATGCTGCTCGCTTTGCAATTGTCTATATAGTTATGTAATTACTATTTTTAATTAAGTAAAAAAATTCCGAAAAAAAATAAATAAAAAATGTTTTTTTTATGTTAAAAAAAATATAAAGAAAAATATTATATTTAAAAAAATAATGAAAAGACGTTTTTTTTCAACTATTTTTTTTCTATTAGAAAAAGAACGGTTTTTTTACATCTCTATAATATAATGTAACTATAATAAACTTATCGGTGCTACGCTACAACATTCGCGATCGCGTTCGCTTTCGTAGAAACTTTAACGTCACGCAGCTAGGAAATGACACAATATATCTATTTTATGGAAGATTACACTTTGAGAACTCTTTTTTAAGGAAAATTAGACTCCTTGACGTAAAAATTATATCGCAGGCTTATGCGGGTGTAATTTATTCCTTTAAATAAAATAACATATCATAGATTTATATAGTTTTATATAGAATTATAAAGATTCGTGAGAGAGTTGCTCTCTATTGCGTATTTTATCTTGCAGTGCATCATTGGCGCGATTGTATTTTTTTTCTTTTTTTGGGGCAGTTTAAACTTAAAGTATTAATAAGATAGTAAGTTGAAGCAATTCTTCGTGAAGGGGTCCATTTTGAACATTACCGGGATTACATTCAAGATAGAATTCTGTAGCCATAAGATACCAGAAATTGTATAGATATGTAAATGAATATATATA